AATGAGGAATATACAAGAATTCCCATAGTTTAGGGTCCTTAAGGTAATGCAGGATTTATATCATCAACAGTATCAATCTTATTGTTAGGGTGCCTTAATACAATAATACTATAACGGAGCCCAGAACCCTATTCTAATTATTAAGGCCCCTCCGTTAGGTCTTCGTGACATTGAAAAGGCTTCGGGATCATCTGATTTTCAGGGTTTAAGGTTTAGGGGTCATCGGGGTTTAGGGCCTAGGGTTTAGGATTTAGGTTTTACGGGGGATGAGAGGGCTCTTGAATCAGTATCGTGCCAACCAATCCGTATCAGAAGGCGAGCTGCTGGGGTGGTGCTCCGAAAATCCGCGACGCTCCCCGTGTCGAAGGCTTGTCTCAGCAGAGACTTGATGTGGTTTTTGGGGTTTGGGGCCACATCTTAAACCTTCGCTATTCATGCATTACCATCTAGTGCTTGAAGTGCTTCGGACTATAGATATGCTAATGCTCGAAGCACTTCTGCGGATGACGGCGAATGTGATAACAGCGCCGCAAGGTACAGAACCTCTTCTTCCGAGTTGCCAAACCCTGAATAATTACCTACACTATTGCGAGGGCTCCATAGCCATATTATAGTTATTTTATGATGGGCCCCAAAACCCTATTCTAATTATATTGGCCCTAAGCCCTTTCAGCCCAGTTGCCCCAAACCTGACAGCAGCTTTCTGCTGGAAGTCGCACGAAAGAATCCGCTGCGGCACAGTTCACCGGCCCTCTCCTTAAATCGCCACATACCGCAGACGGCGCAAGCACAAGGGCGGCGCCAGGTTCACGGCTACCTGAGACTATGATATGGCTTTTTAAGTACTAAGACGATAGTAGACTCTTTTATACTATCATAGGCTACCTTGGACCTCAACCACTGACGCCAGGGCTGCTAAGTGTGACTTCGACGCTGCGTGCGATGCAAAATTCCGTTGCTCTAGAATCATTCTAGATCTGGAAATCGAAAGGACATGCATGGTTCAAGCCAAGATATAGGAGGGAGAAACCAGTTTCATGGGAACCGTCATCGGAAAACTACATCGACGTTATACAATCAACATGAAGGGCGCCTTCGTCATGCATTTCATCATCATCATCATCATCATCATCATCCCTTACGGCTTGTACTAAGACTTGTTTTATTACTATAATACCAGTTTCACTACAAGTACAAGCGAGCATATGGATCTCCGTCCAGCGCCTTTCGTGCTTTGCAGTGTTTGGATTCAAGCTTTGCGACCTCGGGGCCGGGGAGTGGGGGCGGGGATGCGGGGTAGAGGTTGGGGTTGTATTTACAACCTATTTGGCCTCTATATCATCATCGTCTTCATCCTCGGCATCAACACTTTGTCGCAGCATATAACCGAAGTCATCATCATCATCTGCATCACCATCATCATCATCATCACCACCATCATCATCACCATCATCATCACCATCGCCACC